GAAATCAGATAGGTGTAAACTTCAGTGTATCTGAGAGCATTTGTTGAAATGACAAAGGGAGTAGGAAAATGTCAACCAGGAAAGTGACAATTTCGTTGCTTAAAAAGTTGTCATCGGCCGAAACCTGTTTGGCTCAGTGGATAGAGCGTCGGCCTGAGGACTGAAGGGTCCCAGGTTCGATTCCGGTCAAGGGCATGTATCTTGCTTGCGGACACATCCCCAGTAGGGGGTGTGCAAGAGGCAGTTGATCGATGCTTCTCTCTCATCGATGTTTCTAACTCTCTTTCCCTCTCTCTTTAAAAAATCAATAAAATATACATATTTTTTTTAAAAGTTGTCATTGTGTCTCTACCCGTATGTCGGAGAAGGAGGCAGGTAACTAAGGCACGTAGCAGCCCAGAAAGACATCATTAGTGCTGAAATGGCACAGCACACCCCAAGCTCTGACAGCCAGTGTCTCTAAAACACAATTTCCTCTGGACCAGTCCTAGGGCCAGCCAGCCTTCTGGACTTCATTTGCTTTCCTCGATGAGTTAATCTGCCAGGGAGAGAATGTATTGACAGGCAGATAGGAATGTCTGGTCTGCCTGGCAGTCATAATTGCAAAGTAAATTCATAAATTGTCTCTCCGGCGTACATTAGTCTCCGGCGAGTTTTATTGCATTTTCTCGGCCATCCAGGGCACTGATGGCCTCGAGTGGGTGCACTCTCGATGCTTCCAGTCCTAAGCTGGGAGGTCAGATGTTGGACTTTGGTAACCTCATTAGGAGACACAGCCTGGGGAGGCCCAACCCAGAGCTAGTTTCTCATCAGGAACATTATAATTACCAGCCCACGGAGCCACTGCCTCCCAGCGCTCATGGTTACCACTCAGCATTCTTTGATAACTCAGCAAGGCCACCACTGTCTCCCATAAACTAACAAATCCCCAAATCGTGCTCTCACGTGACTGTCTCCATTGAAGGATTCTACCCATGATGCAACTTTCACCTCTAAGAATGGGAGGGGGAGAAGGAAGAGAGAGAGAAAGAAGGGAAGGGAGGGAAGAATGTATGAATTCAGGAGTCAGTTAGCTTGGTCTGAATCCCCAGGTCTACCACTTTGTGGCTATGTGACCTTGAGCAAGTTACTTACTATCTTAGTGCTTTCCTGTCCTCATCTGGAAAATGGGGTTACAGGGCCTGACCAGTTTGGTTCAGTGGATAGTGTCAGCCTGAGAACTGAAAGGTCCCAGGTTCAATTCCGGTCAAAGGCATGTACCTTGGTTGCAGGCACAGCCCCAGTAGGAGGTGTGCAGGAGACAGCTGATTGATGTTTCTCTCCCATTGATGTTTCTGACTCTCTATCCCTCTCCCTTCCTCTCTGTAAAAAAAAAATCAATAAAATATATTTTTTTAAATGGGATCGTAGGATCTACTTCGTCTCTTGTGAGGATTTGAGTTAATGTGCAAAATTACTGAGGCTGGTACCTGACACACTGAGAATGGCTTTGCATTTCATTCCCGATACATTTTCTAATAGATGGCACTTCTGCATTTTGCCTCCAAAACTGTAAAAGTTCCAGAACCAATTTCTTAAGTGCAGAAAATGAGCAAGCATACTAGTGCCCACTGGTTATGGAAACATGTATCCCACAGATGTAAAAATAGTGAGGTTGTGCTTGTTAAATTTTAATATAGGCATCGACCGGGCATCTCATTAAATGCAGATTTTGATGCCCCTGGGGCTGGGGCCCAGAAAAGTCTACATTTTTAGCATCTTCCTCAGTGATGCTCACAGGGTTGGTGTGTGGACCACAGGATGAGTCACCAGCCTACAGATTGTGTGAGTCAAAGGGGGGGAAAAAAAAAAAGTAGGAGGAACAACCCTAGCAGGTTTGGCTCAGTAGGTAGAGCATTAGCCTGTGATTCTGGCCAAGGACATGTACCTCGGCTGCAGACTCCTTCCCGGCCAGGCCCTGAAGGGTCCCGGGTTTGATTCCGGTCAGGGGCATGTATCTTGGTTGTGGGCATATCCCAGGTAGGGGTGTGCAGAAGGCAGCTGATTGATGTTTCTCTCTCGTGGATGTTTCTAACTCTCTATCCCTCTCTGTAAAAAATCAATAAAATATATATATATTTTTTTAAAGAAAGAAAAATATCCTTGGATGAGGATTAAAAAATAAAAGTAGAACTAAGAGGAAGAAAGGAAAATATCGTATTTAAAATGCCAGGAGAGTCCTGGCTGGGTAGCTTCAGTTAATTTGCATACTCATTCCTGATTGGTTGGTGGGCATCACAAAAAGTATGGTCAATTTGCATCTTACTCTTTTGTTAGTGTAGCTTTTTAAATGTCATGTAATATCTCTTGTTAAAAGCATCTTTCAATGACAAGTGTATTGTTTTGATGAACACTAATTTAGGATTGTTTGCGTTTAGATCTATGGTCCATCATCTTAAATTCATTTTTGTGAGATAGGGGGTCATGGTTCATATGTCCCACCATGGATGCTTAGCCGTTTGGGTGCCATTTGTCTAAGACTTTCCTGCTCTGTTAGACTCCTTTGCTAACCTTTGTCCTAAGTCAGGTGGCCATGCAAATATGAATTGGTTTTTAGGTTCTCTCTTCTAGCCCACTGTCTTCCTTGATGATCCTCAGGACAGTATCACATTGTCTTGATTACTGGGTACTCCTTGTATTGCTTTCAAAAATATATAAGCCTTGGCCAGGGGTCAGGGGCAGGCTTAGGTCAATGAGGGAAAGAAGGGAATAGGTTTAATACGTCCAATAATAAATATTTATTTCAAAACAATGTAAGCCTCTATAAAAGAGTGTACATCCATTAAGTTGAAATGAATGGGATCAAGATTAGCCTACAATAAGTCTTACAGAACCATTTTTAAAAATTATATTATGGCCGAAACCGGTTTGGCTCAGTGGCAGAGCGTCGGTCTGTGGACTGAAAGGTCCCGGGTTGATTCCGGTCAAGGGCATGTACATTGGTGGCGGGCACATCCCCGGTAGGGAGTGTGCAAGAGGCAACTGGTCGATGTTTCTCTCTCATTGACATTTCTAGCTCTCTATCTCTCTCCCTTCCTCTCTATAAGAAATCAATAAAATATATTTAAATATATATATATATGTATATGTATATATATGTATATATATGTATATTATGGTTTTGAAAACACTTCATCATTACTACTGTATCCAGAGCAAAATATATTCACTCACAAGCAAGCAGAAAACTAGAAATTCTTTATGACCTCCAACTGAAATTATATTAAAACTAGAGGCCCAGTGCAAGAAATTAGTACATGAGGGGTTGGGGAGGGGAGGGGCCTCCTCAGCCCAGCCTGCACCTTCTCCATACTGGGACTCCTTGGGGATGTTCGACTGCTGGCAGTTGGACATCCCTCTCATAATCCTAGACCACTGGCTCCTAATCACTCACCTGCCTGTCTGCCTGCCTGATCACCCCTAACTGCCCCCCATGCTGGCCTGGTCACCCCTAACTGCCCCCCTCTGCCAGCCTGGTCACCCCTAACTGCCCCCCTTGCTGGCCTGGTAGCCCCCAATTGCCCCTCCCCTGCTGGCCTGGTCGAACCATGCAGCCTACTTGTTTATAGTCATTTGGTCATCCCTCACTAACCCCCCTGGTAGCCCGGTCATAGGCAGCCATCTTTGTGAGGGCATGAGGGTCAATTTGCATATTACTTCTTTATTATATAGGATATTCTATTAACTTTTCTTCTCAATTTCCCACCAGGTTTTGTCATATTATTTAATAATACCACAACGAAGTGAGCTTTAAAACAGTCCTTAAAAAAGTCATGTTTAAAAAAAAAAAAGTAACGTGTGTGTCTGAGGCTGGAAGACAGGTACACTGTCCCATAATAACATGTTAAAAAGTCATGTATCAATTTCAAAAATATGCCCCAAAAAGTAGATCACCGTTTTTAAAATCTCCTTTAGAGTTTAACTTGAAAAAGAAGATTAGGAACAAGAACATAGCAATATTCTTATAAAAGAAGAAAAGCAACTTCCAAAAGCAGTGGGAAACAATCACCTCCCCTGGGGGCAAACTGCCCATGTCTCTTGGGAACTGCTGACTACTATTGTTCAAATTGCCACATAAGGACCCTGCACCACCACTATCACCCTTTTTTTTTTTAAAAGGGACATATGCTTAATTTTCAAATCTCCAATATTTTACAAAAATCTATCTTAACAGCTTGAAAAAATGTTGCCCAGCTGAGTGTACCACCAGAAATCTTAAAGACTGACACTCTGTTCTTAACCTGAAATATTGCTTTGATGTAGGACCCCTTCAGTAAACAGCTTTATAACACAGAAAGAAATAACCCATTAAAGAAATAACACATTAAAGAGTTTGTAAAAATAAAGTTGGGATGTTTATTACGTTTTCTACTGGCAGCATGAAAATCACTAGAAACTGTACTTTTGTCCTTTCAAATAATCTGCACTAAAATCATACTTTTCCAAATAATTGATATAGAAGATAAAATTCAGTTTAAAAAATCCTTAAAATACTTAGATATCAAAGACAGAAATACTGATTTTTCTTTTATTCCATTAATGATGACAACAAGAGATCCAGTTTAATCAAGAGCTGACATTTATAAATTTCAAGCTTTTAAGTGAGCTAAAAGATCAAAGGGTTAATGATATCAATTACAGGTAGAGAAGATCATCTGTGCGTTTTCTAGATTCATTACGGCAGCTACGTATGTGGGGAAATCACAGAATTTCTCAGATCCAGTGTCAAATAATGGGATTTGGGCAAGTGTTCTTGACATCACCTTTATTTTAACAGGCACTACATGCACACGATGCAGGTAGGGGGCTTTTATGAATCCATGCAGTAAAGACAAGACGGACTGGACTACTGCCCAGTGTGCACTGAGCCAGTCAGGGTGCTGCTCCGCGTTCCTCATGCTCAGTGGTTTCCATGGAAATAAAGGCAGAAGCAGACGTGTGCACTCGCCACAGAATCCTCTTCATTTGGTCTCCTGTGCTTTCTTTGCATTCTGTTTTTCTTTTGCCTGGAAATTAAAGGCAGCATCTTACAAAATCTCAAAGGTCTGCTTTAGAGCATAGTGACTGTACCCAGCACTTGTCAAAAAAAAAAAAAACCCGCTATTCAGTACAGTACTGCAATTACTTATTTTTCTCTCCGCTCTATCGTAAGTTGCTTAAGAGAGAAGAGGTGTCTTATTCCTGTGTACAGCCACAGGCTTTAACAGAGTGCCCGGTCTACAGCTGCAGCTGGATAAATGCTGAGTAATTAAAACATTTCAAACATTTTAAATAATAATCTGAGTTCTCCTCAGAATCTAGGAAGAGAACATTGCATACAGACAAGAAATAAAACATATTTCAATATTGTCTATGCAGTGTGCATAATGAAAAAGCAGTTTGGAGAAACAGACTAAAGCTCCAAGGTCAGTAACAACCTCTTCAATAACACAAATGCATCAGCAAGGACAGACTGGATTGTGTTCCATTAACACCAGACATTCACACACTGCCACCCTCTGTCCACAACAGGAAAGGCAGTTCTAATGCAAAAGCTGAAAAGCTATGTTATCCTAATATGCTTCATTAAAAATAAAAAAATCTGGAATTATACTGTCATTAAAACTAATCAAGAGTTGTCCTTTCCTGCCAAAACTGGTTTGGCTCAGTGGATAGAGCAAAAAAAAAATTTTTTTTAATATGTTTTATTGATTTTTTACACAGAGGAAGGGAAAAGGTTAGAGTTAGAAATATCTGCCTCCTGCACACCTCCCACTGAGGATGTGCCCGCAATCAAGGTACATGCCCTTGACTGGAATCGAACCTGGGACCTTTTGTCCACAGGCCAATGCTCTATCCACTGAGCCAAACCGCTTAGGGCAGAAAGAAATTTTAAAAATGTTTTTGATTGACTTTAAGAGAGGGAGATAGCCGAAACCGGTTTGGCTCAGTGGATAGAGCGTCGGCCTGTGGACTGAAAGGTCCCAGGTTCAATTCCGGTCAAGGGGATGTACCTTGGTGGCGGGCACATCCCCAGTAGGGGATGTTTCTCTCTGATCGATGTTTCTCTCTTATCGATGTTTCTAACTCTCCCTCTCCCTTCCTCTCTGTAAAAAAAAAAAAATCAATAAAATATATTTAAAAAAAAAAAAAAAGATTTGTTAGTAGCTTAAAGAAAAGGCAATGTTTTAAACGTCATTCTAATATAGCACAGCCTGAACTGTGACATGGCGGATTCTAAGAGGTGAGGCAGTGGGACAGCCCTTGTTACTAGTGTACAGATAGCTGGCTGAACTAATGCTCACCTAGAATCTAAAACAAATGAAAGTCAAAAAGCTTCAACACATTTACCTCTACTTAAGCTAAGACAAAATTTTGTTTTTGGAGAATCTAAATCTAATTTAATACAGTCAACAATACCGTAATAACTACCTAGGGTGACGGCCCCTAAATGGTCAGAGGTAACTTATATAATGTCTGTCTGCTGTGCTGTACACATACAAAACAGTATTGAATGTCAACTGTAGTAAAAAAAATAAATTCCACAAGGACAAAAAAGATATGAGTTTGTTCAGCATTAAAATCCTTACCTTTTCTACTAGTGGTATTAATTGCTGGTGTTCTGCTAACGTCTTTAACAATTCCATAATGAACGGCAGGTAATTATGTTTCCTTCTGATATTTTCAATCTGAAAATAAAACAAGTATCAAACCACGCTAGCTTTGCATTTCCACTAAGTTTCTGACATTCTGATTTTGCATACAACTCAAAATTGAAATAACTATTAGAAATAATGAGATCCAGTTCCCACTGAGACTAAAACTAATATAATAAACATATGGAGAGTTTCTGAGCATGGCTTACTACTACTGACATAACTAATCTTTTTATAAAACCTAAACAGTTGAAAAGCAAAATTTAAAAAAAATAAGCTCACTTGTGTGTCAAATTGGTAATAGAACCATGCCAAGAGAAAATTTTTCAAGTGAATTTTAAAACATAGTATTTTGATTATACATTTAAGATAGGATAGATCCCTAAGGAAAAAATGGCACTCCTGGTATTGTTATTCTGAGCTATTTATATATATATATATATATATATATATATATATCCTATCCTATATAACAAAAGTCTAACGTGCTAAGTGTCTGGTTGTCTGTTCAACCAAAGTATTATATAATATGCTAATGATATGCTAAAACTGCTTGCTATGACATGCACTGACCACCAGGGGGAAGACAGTCAACCACTTGTTGACATGTACTGACCACCAGGGGGCTGACGCTCCAACCAGTAGGTTAGCTTGCTGCTGGGGTCTGGCAGATCGGGATTGAGGGAGATGGCCTGACAGACCCTGGAGCCCTCCCACGGTCCCTCCCCGGCTGGCCAATCTCCTGCGTCCCTCCCTGGTCTTGATTGTGCGTGCACCAGTGGGGTCCCTCAGCCTGGCCTGTGTGCCCTCTCTCAATGTGGGATCCCTCAGGGGATGTTGGAGAGCCGGTTTCAGCCCAATCCTGCAGGCCAGGCTAAGGGACCTTATTCATTTGTGCACCAGGCCTCTAGTATACTAGAATATATATATATATATATATATATATATATATATATATATATATATATACACACACACACACACTAGTGTGTGCGTGTGTGTGTGTGTGTGTGTATAGCATGAAGCATGTAAATATCTCTTTACATACAAATGCAATATATTTGTAGCAAAAAGCAAATAAGTAATTGTGTTACTGTTGTTAGGAACCAAGATTTTCAGATTAAGAGAAAAGATCAAATGCTGAACTTCAAGTATAAACCCTTTAATCCTAAATATGAACATTAATAGGAACTCTCATTATATTTTTCTCTCCAAAAATTAAACAAAAATATATATATATATATTTCTTAGAAATATATATATATATTTCTGAAAGGATCTAGAAATAAAGGTCAATCAGTATCACTGAGATGGCTTCTAATACCACTTCCACCAAAGGATCCAGAGCTTCTTGAAGAAATGGTGAATTCCAGGTCTGAGGCGGGAAATGTAAAAGATGGGCCTGACACACATGTTACTAGAACAGAAGCGACAAAGGATGAACAGTCATGTCAAAGGACACAGGAGGCAGTTTGCAGTGACCCCTACTGGCCAAAGGGGGAATAATTTGAACATCAGCAATATCTGCAGTGAACTTTAACATCAAATAGGTTACAAATCTTTTCAAAATACTTTTTTTAAAAATTTAAAAAACAGGCTCCATAGCTCAGGGGTTAGAGCACTGGTCTCGTAAAAAAATTTAAAAAACAGCTCATTGGTTACCTTTGTAGAATGCCAGGGAATCAACTCATTCAGAAAACAAATGATGGGAGAAAAGTGATCACATACCTTCATGTCAAAATAAACCACCCCATTTTAAAACATTAAAGGAACAAAATTTTTTAAATACCTTATATCTTTTTAATTTCTGCATTTCTTCTTCGATGAGCATCTGATTTTTGGCGAGTTCTGACTGAATAGCACTTAGCATACTACCCTGATCTGTATCCATGGGTTCCTCCTTAGAGAAAAGGAAAGAAAAGCACACCCTAATAACTGAGGCTTAAGTGCAGAATATTTTCAAGTGACATACACAGTACAATTCCTTTAAAATTTTACCTTTAATACAGTAACAAAATTCCAGCCGAATAAGTGTAACATTCAAGGATAAAAGCCCTAAAAAAATACCTTCATATTTCTATATTCTGCAATATACACCGTTTACCTAAAAGTAATCTATACTGTAATATACTTAAATCTATACCCTTCCATTCAGCTATAAATCTGCTTAAATATACTCTTAAGAAAATATGGTCAAAGAATGTAAAAAGGTCTTTTTGTCTGTTACTAATTCTCCCCAATCCTATTCACTATAGAAAGATAAAGACTAGTAAAGATTATATGTGAGTCTAAATGTACCCAATTGAGTCCTCGCTGGTTTGGCTCGATGGATAGAGCATCACCAGCTTGCATATTGAAGGGTCCTGGGTTCGATTCCAGCCAAGGGCACATGCCTGGGTTGTGGGCTCAGTCCCCAGTAGGAGACATGCATGAGGCAGCTGACCAATGATTCTCATCGATGATGTTTCTCTCTCTCCCTCTCCCTCTCTAAAATCAATAAAAATACATTTTAAAAAATAATAAGTGTACCCAATTGATTCTGTGAAAAATGTGATCTAACCTGCATAATATATAAATAATAGTAAATCATTGCTAACACTCGTTTAGCACACACTACTTCTCAGTCACTGTTTAAAGTGGTTTACATATATTATCTCAGTTAATCCTCATAACAATCGTCTAAGGAAAATACTATTATTATCCTCATTTTACGTAAGAAACTGAGACACAAAGAAATACACTCAAATTAACGCATCCACCACAGGGCTGAATCTAGGCAGCCTGACTCCTGAGGGTGATCTCTTCCCACCACTCAGTAAAGAAAGGAGAGAGAAAGAGGAGGAGGAAGGAGGGAAGGCATCAATCCTTCCCCTGAGAAAATAAATCAGAAAACATGGCCACAAACCTCAGCAAGTTGTCTCTGCAACTCTGCTATCTTCTGTTCATATATCATTTTTCTGTCAGACACGATGGCCATTAAGTTAAATCGAATTTCACCTTCGCTGTACCTAAAAAAAAAAAAAAAGGTCAAGTGTATATAATGTCATAAAGAATCATAACACCATTACAATTAAGATAATCCGCTGGGATTGCCCCATGGTTCTCTGGGAGATCAGTCGGCGGTTCATGCATTGGAAGAGTCCACACAGTAAAGATGTCACTTCTCCTCACATTGATACAAATGTTTCACACAATTTCTATCCAAGCCCTAGCAAGAATTTTAGTAGATACAAGCTTACACTGGAATCTGCATGGAAGGGGAGGATCTATAACGGCTAGAACAATTCGCAAGCAAAGGAAGAAAGCAGGAGACGTCACTGCCCCTGAGGTCAAGACTTAAGCCACAGTAACCAAGACTGTGGAGCTGACAGACACACACATCAGTGGGACAGGACGGTGGACCCAGAAACACCCGAACACGTACGCCCACGATTCTGGGCCAGGTGTGGGGGCAGCACCCAGGGGTGCTTAGCAGGTGAACAGCCACAGGCCGTGTATAAAAATTAACTCCAAATAAATTACAGACTTAAATGAAAACTGTTAAACCACAATAAAGCCTATAAAAGACAATAGCAAAATCTCGGGAATCTAGGGCTAGGGAAAGAATTCTTAAGATTTGGCATAAACATACAATGCATGGTGGGAAAGACAATTCAAGGGGATTGAGAACGTTTGCTCGGAAAGACCACGCATCAGCCGAAACCGGTTTGGCTCAGTGGAGAGAGCGTCGGTCTGAGGACTGAAAGGTCCCAGGTTCGATTCCGGTCAAGGGCATGTACATTGGTTGTGGGCACATCCCCGAAAGGGGGTGTGCAGGAGGCAGCTGATCGATGTTTCTCTCTCATTGATGTTTCTAGCTCTTTATCCCTCTCCCTACCTCTCTGTAAAAAAATCAATAAAATATATATTAAAAAAAAAAAAAAAAGAAGAAAGAAAGACCACGCATCAAAAGGGGGATGGGCTGCAGGCTGGGACAGAGTATTTGCAGGCAAGGTGCCTAAGGACCAGAGGTATTTAGAGTAGGAAAAGAACTTCAAGGCTCAACCGTCAAAAAAGAAACCATCTAATTACATACAAAATAGGCAAAAGGCACACATCGTTAGTCACTAGGGAAAATGCAGATTCAAATCATGATGAAATATCATCGCCCACCAATCAGAACGGAAATAAAAATACAAATGCTAGCGGAGGCCGCGGAGAAACTGGATCCCTCGTACATGAAGAGTGGGAATGTGAAAGAGTTTGGTGGCTTCTTAAAAAACGAAACGTGCCTTTCCCATACGACTCAGCCGTGTGCTCCTGGACAGTTACCCCAGGGCAATGAAAGCTTAGGTTCACACACAACCTGTCTACACGTCTGTTACAGCTCTACCCGTAACGGCCAAAAACTGGAGACGATCCCGCTATCCTTCAGTGAGTGAGTGGGCAAAAAAGTGGTATATCCATACCACAGACTACTATTCTAAAAGAATCAACTATTGCTGAGACCGGTTTGGCTCAATGGATAGAGCGTCGGCTTGGGGACTGAAGGGACCCAGGTTCGATTCCGGTCAAGGGCATGTACCTTGGTTGTGGGCATATCCCCAATAGGGAGTGTGCAAGAGGCAGCTGATCGATGACTCTCTCTCATCGATGTTTCTAGCTCTCTGTCTCTCTCCCTTCCTCTCTGTACAAAATCAATAAAATATATTAAATAAACAAATGAATAAAGAATCAACTATTGATACACTTAACCTACAGGAATGTCTAGAGAATTGTGCCGAAAGGAGCCAGTCCAAAAGGGTGACTCGCTGCATGATTCCGTTTATCTAGCACTAGAGGCCCAGTGCACGAATTCGTGCACGCGTGGGGTCCAGTGGGCCTGCGCTGATGGGGGCTCATCGGGCCAGGCCAGTGGGGGAGATGGGCCATGGGCAGTTGGCTGGCCTGGCCCCCAATCAGGGTGTTGGAGGCCAATCGGGGGCCTGGCCGGCCGGGGGGTAGCCTATCAGGGCTCGGATCAAGCTGGTTGGCTACCACAATGCGTGTCATAGCCACCGGTCGATGGGCTTTTATATATATAGATTTTTTTAAATGGCAAGTGATGTGGGGGGTGGCAGAGGAGGGAGGTGGCTGAGGCTCTATATGGGCACCTGAGCACTCCTGGGAATTACTCGGTACCTTGACGGAGCCAACATCAGTATCCTGGCCATGGCACTGCCATAGTTTTGCAAGGTGTCACCAATTGCAGGGTGAAGGGCACACAGGATCACTCTGCATTTTTTTTTTATAACTATCTCAAAAAGTTTAATTTAACTAAGAAACATACGCTCAAAACAAAACTCTGCAAAGTAACTGCATGAAACATCTGACTTAATGGAGATCTGCGTTTAATTCCGCTAACAGGGCAGGACCTAGAGGTTTTCCGACACAGATTCCCTGAACCCAGTAATCAGAGGCAGGCAGGCAGTGAGCACTGCTAACATAAAAATGAAAGTTTTCTTAAAACCAAACCAGAACGTCATGCGAGGGGCTTAGCGGGGCATTTACTTCTGTATTCTCTTCTCGATGACGGGCCTCACGGCGCTGATCCAGTCGTCCTGGCTGCAGGCCCCTGGAGAGAGAGGAGAGATTTCCGTCAGCGAGTCAGCCTCAGCACTACTTACCCGCGCTCCAAAGCACCTCTTTTTATAAAACACTTAGGCTGGCCAAAATCCTTTTAACATAGCTGTGTTCAGCTTCCATTCTTATTTACTGAAATCCATACACTTTTGTGAAAGTTAACTAAAAAAAATAAGTAATAGCCAAAACTGGTTTGGCTCAGTGGATAGAGCACTGGTCTGCGGACTGAAAGGTCCCAGGTTCGATTCCGGTCAAGGGCATGTACATTGGTTGCGGACACATCCCCGATAGGGGGTGTGCAGGAGGCAGCTGATTGATGTTTCTCTCTCATTGATGTTCCTAACTCTCTATCCCTCTCTCTTTCTCTCTGTAAAAAAATCAATAAAATATATTTAAAAATTAAAGTTAAAAAAAAGAAAAAAATTAATAAATAATAAATGATGCAATCTATGGGTTAATATGTTTTTCTCTTAGGAAAAAAATTAAAGGTCCCAACTGGACTGCAGTGGTCAGCATGCCCTTCCTATCTGCTAACGTCACGAAGGACCGAAGAGCGTGGGGGTGTCCCTATGTGGCCGCCATTGTCGCCATCCCCTCCAATCTCTGCGGCATGGAGGCTAGCACAGAGGCCAGTCCCGTTTTCTCCCGGCCGGGAGGGAAACGGCGGGGACAGGGACCGGTTACCTAGGTCGATCGGTCCCTCCCGCAGTCCGTCCAGCTCGTAGAGTCTTCCGTTCACAGGGACGTAACTGACAAAGTGAAACGCATCTTCCTCTTTGGTCGGGGGCTTCGCGTCGAACTCAAACATCTGCTGTCTGCAGGGAGGAAGGAAGCAGTGAGAGGCAGGCGGGGCGAGAGGGACGCGGGGTCGGCTCGGCGCCCAGTCTCTCACCTGGCGAAGCTGTTGTGCACTTGTCGGATCACGTCTGAGTTGCTCAGCGCCAAACCTTTCATCTGAGAGAATGCGTAAAAGCCGCCAGTTAAAATAAGGAAGACGCGAAGAGGGCACCTTGGGGATAAGAAGGCGGTACTCACAGCTGCATCGAAGCTTTGTGAGAATTCTTTAAACTCGGACAGCGTCTCTCCTAGATGGACGTCTTGATGAGTGCAGTTCAGCAGCACACTTACTATGGCTTGCGTAGCACACGCGTTATTAATGACCTGTGAGACCGAAAAGTGGAGACACCATCCATCAACCTGTTAGAAGAGCAGCCTGGCCAGCTCAGTGGTTGGGCGTCCACCTATGAACCAGGAGGTCACGGTTTGATTCCTGGTCAGGGCACATGCCCGGGTTGTAGGTTCCAATCCCAAGAGGCGTGGAGGGGACGCGACCTCACCTTCCTCATCAGTGAAATGGTAGCTACCAAACTGTCCTTCCTGGATCTTCACACACACACACACACACACACACACACACACACACACAAACTCTGATTATTAAATAATTTCTTCCCTCAACATTTTATTCATCAGTGATCCAGACACACACACCTCCGACTAGAGCATATGGTTAGCCTCAGTCAGCCAGTGTTACTGCCTCTCTAAATGGATGAGTTATGTGGGCAGCTCAATCATTTTGTGGAACGTAAAGGGGGTCCAAAGACAGAAAGCTGGGTACTGCTCCATTCCGAGCACATGGGGAAATAGAGCCCTGTCTTACAAGAAGGATCGTTCACAAGACACGGAGCACCCAAGGGCCATACCTGCTTGGCGAAAAAGATCGTGTCGAGTCTGGAGTCCTGAACCACGGAGCCTGCTGGTTCCTCTCCTGGCTGCCACTTGAAAAGAAAAATCAGCCCGTGAACCGGCCTACGGAACAGAACACAAGCTAGTGACACCACAGCCTGCTGCTGCTTAAACACACTGTCAGTATATATCACATTTTACTCAGCTACTTAACCAATACAAGTGAAGTAAATTCAAATTTTTTTTTTTAAGCTTTCTATTGCTCTTCAGTTGCTAGAACATTGCCTGAGACGGGCTAATAAAACTTGAAATTACAACGGTTAAAAAAGAACCATAGCCAAAACCGGTTCGGCTCAGTGAATAGAGCGCCTGCTGCGGACTAAAAGGTCCCGGGTTCGATTCCAGTCAAGGGCATGGACCTCGGTTGCGGGCACATCCCCAGTAGGGGGTGTGCAAGAGGCAGCTGGTCGATGATTCTCTCTCATTGATGTTTCTAACTCTCTCCCTCTCTCTTCCTCAAGCCATAGTGAAAGGCTTGTTCTCAAATCTGCGGATTATTCATTTCTACCTTGTATCACTTAACTTAAAGGAAATAAGAATAAAGCAAAACTAGAAGAAGCTGCCAACCTAGGCAGAATTCCAATATACACGAGTAGAGTGCAGCTCGGATGTCTGCAGATAAGTGGCCGATGGCACATGCATTATGAAACGCGGGGAGTCGCTTTGTGTCACTCTCGGATGCACGAACACTTCTCATGCCAGTGCGAACGGGAGCTGTCATCCCGTACAGGAGGGGGGTCACCGCTTTCCTGAGGAACCGCTGTTGCCCAGGAAACACCCAATGGACCTTCTAGGATTCTCTCCAGTCTCTGCCTTCCATGCAGTAAAAATCTCTCCTATCCTTTGAAGCCAGTTCAAGCCTCATCTTTAGTTAACCTTCCCTGATGGCTCAGTCGAAATTGATCTCTTATTCCACCTATAGTGACTGCGTTTTTTTTGTGGGGAAGGGGGAGGTGGGGGAGCAAACCATCCCCTTCTCACTGTGAAAGCAGAGGCCAGATCCCAATGGTCCCCGCTGTTCCCGTTAGATGCCAGCTTCCCTCCAGCCACGAACATGCCCACCCATGAGAACTCCCCTGCCCTCCTCCGCGATTCAGGGGCAGCGCTAGGAGGTGGCGAGGTGGGCGGTGAGGAAAGGCTCAGCAGGGTGGTTCTACTCAGGGTGGGGGAAGAGGAACCCGGACCACAGCCCTCCAGAAGCAATGTGATAGTGTACAGACAAGTTTGCATTACTATGAATATGCACTATGAAATATGCTTTTGTAGATGGACCTCTTTTTCATGTCTCTTACGCTAAAGATGGGTTCCATGTTCTAATCCACGATCTAGATGTGCATGTTGTAAAAACCAACCAATTACTTTGTTGGCATGGAACTGCAGGGACTTGGTTCCTAATCCGTAGCAAGCTCCTTATCTAGAAGCCTCCGGTTGGTGGTTATAAAAGGAGAGTAGTAATTCAATCTCATAGGACTGAAAAAGCTTGAAGGAGATCGTGTATTCGGCTTAGCGTAATCCAAGAAAAAATAGACAAATGTTTGCTTACGTGGAGATAGTTTTTAACACGGCTAAAATGATACTCACTTTAATTTTTCAAAACTCTCAGGTTCTAAACTCCATATCTCCTCTACTTGGGCTCCTCGGCAACCTGAAATAAGAGATTATTTCTTTAGAAAACAAAGCATGGACTCATTTTTCTCCACCTTTAGATGTGAACTACAAGGTGTGCACACATGTGGGGTGGTAAGACATGAGAAATTAAAATGGTAAAACTGTCCAAGTTCACAGCCAAATCCTAGTCCATCCTGTATGATTTTCTAATCACCTGCAGTGGCAGTGTTTGCCTTTAGAAGTTTCCAGAATGTGCCAGCGTGTGCCCACCAACACGCCATTCACATCTGCACATCCTTCATCCACTTTTTTTGTTCAACCGCTAAGCTCTCTCAGCTCTTTCCCGTGGCCCTCTGTTTTTCTTATTGTACATTTTTAAGTGCGAATACATAACTGCTCCAACAGCGACTTTCCCTAAAGTTTTATTCATTCTATTTTCAACTACCTCAGAGTATTTGATAGAATTTACCAGTGAAACAATTTTGACTGGAGTTGTCTCTGTGAAAAGATTTTAAATTACAATTTCAATTTCTTTAATAAATAAAAGGTTAAAGGGTCACCTATTTTTCTTGATTGAGCTTTGGTAATTTGTATCTTTAAGGGAATTTGCATATTTCATTTAAGTTGTCAGATTTACTGGTATAAAGATGCTTCCAATATCCCTTTATTATCTTTTTAATGTCCATAGATTCTATGGTGAGATCATCTCTCTTCTTTCTGGTATTGGTCATTTGTGTGTCCTGTCCTCTTTTGATCAGTCTGGTTAGAAGTTTATCCATTTTATTGACCTTTGAGAAACCGGCTTTTGGTTTCATTGATTTTTCTTGATTTTTGTTTTATTTTTTAATTTATTGAGATATTGGTTAATATGATCATATAGGTTTCAGGTGTGGATTTCTACATTATAAGATCTGTATATTGTATGGTGTGCCCACTACCCAAAGCCAAAATGAATGGCTATACCTCCTCCTCTCTAACCCGCCAATCATCTCAGGCTCTGGCCACTTTAAGAGACGTCTAGCTTCTCTCACTTCATTCCAATCTACTCTGCACACTACACATGGTAAACCTTCCTCAGCTATGACAAATGTCATTTCAGCATTCAAGTATCTTTGACAGTTAAGTCCTGCCGGGAGCGAATACAGAGCAACACAAACCACACAACAGAGCTTACCACCTGGCCTCAGTTTATCTTTTCAGCTTCAGGCGCAAATCAATACCCCTCCAAGCCTGCTAGATGATGCATTAGTCACTTCCCATAAGCCACAAGCTTTAACATCAGTGCTGTTTACGTTTTTTCCCCTCCGCCTGCGTTCCTGTAACATTCTTTCACACTTCAAGATAGCAATCAATACACTGCTTTGCGGTTCGCCACTTCTTTAGAGCAGCACAATTTATTCATAGGTCCACCCATGAACCAGGAGGTCATGGATTCCTGGGTCAGGGCACATGCCTGGGGTTGCAGGCTCCATCCCCAGTAGGGGGCGTGCAAGAGGCGGCCGATCCAAGATTCTCTCATCCTTGACATTTCAGTCTCTCCCTTCCTCTCTGAACTTAACCAAAACATATTTATTTTTTATTTTTACTTTTTAAAATATATTTTATTGATTTTTTTTTACAGAGAGGAAGAGAGAGGGATAATAGAGTTAGAAACATGAATGAGAGAGAATCAGGGATCTCTGGCACACCCCCCACTGGGGATGTGCCCTTGACCGGAATCGAACCTGGGACCTTTCAGTCCGCAGGCCGACGCTCTATCCACTAAGCCAAACCGGTTTCGGCATGAACTTAACCAAAATACTATATTTAAAGGGAAACGATCCTCCAGAGCCGACCAGTGCACCTGACACACCGCAGATGCAGCTTATGCACCCTAGGCAGTACCTGCGCCGGCGTTACATTTTCACCACGAGGACAAGTTTGAGCATCGCAGCTAGAATGAAAGAACGCTCCCGGAAATGTAACAGATTAAAAACAAACGCACTGCTGCGCCCCACCAAAAAAAATAAAAAAATAAATAAGCTAGGAACAAGATGGGCAGGAAGCAGGCTAAGAAGGTCAAGTGTGCTGCTGGCTATTCGGGTGGCAGACGAGGCAAGCGGGCCAGGGAGAAGCTCCGGGGCGAGCGCGATGGGGCCTCCGGGGCCGGGGCACGAGCTCCGGGGACACACGCTCCGCCGGAAGCGAGAGCCGCGGGGAGCGGAGCGGAGCGGGCGGCGCGGCCCGGCGGCCCCACGCGGTCCTCCCCACCCCCCCGCCCCGCCCGCTCCAGGTCAGTCCCGATCGGCAGGACGGGGAGCCGGGGTTCCGGGGCGCGGGGTTCCTGTGGCCTCGGCACCCCGCCCCGCAGCGGCGGGCACACCCCAGCTTCTCCCCTGCGGGCCGGGCGGCCGGGGGCGCGCACCTGGGCGCACCTGCCGGGACGCGGAGCGCGCGGCGAGGGGAAGGGAGAGGCTGGTGCTCAAGGGCGCGGGGGAGATCGCGGGGACTCGTTGCAATTAAACAAATAACGGGGGGCCGGGTCCCGAGGGGGACGGCCGTGCGGACAACTCGGGGTGCCTGCCCGCCCGCGTGGGGTGACTCTGAGATCCCTGCGGAATCGCGACCGCCCGGGGCTGGGAAGGGGGCGGAGCTCGGAGTGTCCCCCTATCTCCTCCAGGCGCCCCGAGTCGCCGGCGTCTCCACGGGAAACCCACTCCGTGCCCGGCTCGGCCTCCTCCGTGCCCCCCTCCACCTCCGCCGCGCCCCGGCCCGGGACGGCGCCCCTGCCTCTCTCTCACCGAATCCTTTAATGAGCTCGGTGAACACGCCGGGGTCGCTCTCCATGAGGCACCACTCCCCGGCATTGCTCGTCATGGCCCCGGCCGCACAAGGCCGCCGCCCCCGCTCCACCGCCCTCGGTCGCTGGCCGCCGCCGCCGCCGCCGCCGCCGCCGGCACCCGCTGCCCCGCCGGCCACGGATGCCCTGCGAACCCGCCGCAGAGCTCGTCCGCCCCACGTCACCCCGCCTACTTCCCGACAGCCTCCGCGGCCGGCCCTGCCGGGAGCGCGTCAGAGCGCGCGCGCGCGCGGACGCTCTAGCCAGCCGGGAGCCGGCGACTCTCTCTCTCTCCATCCTCCGGGCCGCCTAGAACCCCCACCTCCCCCCCCCCCCCCGGAACGGAGCCGGAAGAGGCGGAGCCTGTGGAGGCCACATCCGGGATTCGCGCCAATCCGAAGCGAGGGCGGGCAGGCGAGAGGGCGGGGTCACTCCCGGGAGCCGGACTTGGAGGCCCAGTGGCGGCGGCGGCGGCGGCGTGTGGACGGTCCGAGCAGGCGTCGCCCGTCAGGCCGCCGCGTCTTCTCGGTTTTCCCGGTGCTGCGCGGGGTTCGCCCAGCGGCGCTGCCGGCGGAGGGCCGGCCGCTGAGCACAGGTGAGGAAGCGGCGGGAGGCCGGCGGGGGCCCTTTGTGCGGTCCGGGCGGCCCCGAGGGCGCGCGGGCTCCGTCCGGCTGGACCTCCGGGTGCCTCACCTCGCATCTCCGCGGCCGAGTCCGAGCCGACGCGTCGCCGTCCCCGCCCCCCCGCCTCGCCCAGGCCGCCGAGCGGACCCGGCGCCGCGGCGGGCGCCTCCTGGCTCGGCCGGGCCTGGGCGCCCCGAGGGCGGGCCTTGCGCCCCCGGGCGGCCCCTCCGGGTGCTCGCGCAGGGCCCGCCTCCCTCCTCCTCCGCCTCCTCCCGCTCTCTCCTCCCGCTCCCTCCCCGGGATCCGGGTTCGGGAAGCCGGACCTCCGTGGGGAGGAAGCCGGGCCCTGCTGTCGGGGTCGGGGGGCGGGGATGGTGGACTGGACCCGGGGACGCCTCCGAGGGAAGGGAGGCACGGAGTTCATCTAAAAGCACTTGTGGCGCCGAAACTGGCTTGACTCAGTGGATAGAGCGTCGGCCTGCGGACTGAAAGGTCCCGGGTTCGATTCCGGTCAAGGGCATGGACCCTGGTTGCGGGCACATCCCCTGTAGGGGGGTGTGCAGAAGGCAGCTGATCGGTGTTTCTCTCTCATCGATGTTTCTAACTCTCTATCCCTCTCTGTAAAAAAAAAAATCAATAAAATATATTTTTAAAAATATCACAAATGCTCATTAAAATAAAAAATAAAAATAAAAGCACTTACGATGCTTCCAGGATTCGATGATGAGTTAAACCCCAAATGGCCATTTTTCACGAGGTAGCCTTCCTTCCCGAGGCTCTTGCAAGAATCCTCGTGTTCAGGTGAAAGCCTTAAAGAGTCTATTCTATTTATGCACAGGGGATATAAATATAGTCAGTAATAGTGCAATAGATATGGGTGGTTTTATCTTAGGCGGCTTTAGACATATTGAGGAGGTCTTAAACCATTGCACAGCACGTGCACAATATCGAATGTCATATGAAGTTGAAACCTTTTTTAAGCGTATTTTAAAAAAAAAATACATTTTATTGATTTTGTACAGAGAGGAAGGGAGAGAGAGAGAGAGTTAGAAACATCGATGAGAGAGAGTCATCCATCAGCTGCCTCTTGCACACCCCCTACTGGGGATATGCCCGCAACCAAGGTACATGCCCTTGACCGGAATCGAACCTGGGACCCTTCAGTCCCCAAGCCGACGCTCTATCCATTGAGCCAAACCAGTCCCGGCTTAAGCGTATTTTTAAAGTGTGTTTGTACATCATTGCTTAAACCTCTTGAGTCCCAAGAAGGGCCTTTAGCTTCCAGGAGGAAAAAAATAAAATGTTTTAGTGCACAAAACTCTGATTCCTTGCTCATCAAACAGGTCAGGTGACCCGCGTGCTGGAGTTACTAGTGTATAGCGAGCATTGTGCTATGTGAAGCCACAAAGTAAAAACACGATAAGTTTTACCAAAACAACAGAATGGTCTTTATATTAAGATAAGATGGGTATAACACGGAATAGAAGCGAACATTTGTATCAAGTGTTTGGTTTTATTTTTTTTTTAACTGGAACTTGTTTGAGGTTTGCCCCTGGGAGTGGCCCTCAGGCTGGGGGCCTCAGTTCGCTTTGCCCTGTTCTTTGTACTTAAATGGAAGTGTGTAGGGCACAGGGTCTGGCCTTATAGCCTTAGAGACCACACCTAGGAGTGTCACCAGAACCTAAAGGCGTTGGTGGTCATCTGTCGTCTTTTTTATTCTGTAACGCTACATGAACTTGAAAGTGCTTTCGCCGAAACCGGTGTAGCTCAGTGGATAGAGCATTGGCCTGCAGACTGAAAGGTCCCAGGTTCAATTCTGGTCAAGGGCATGTACCTTGGTTGTAGGCACATCCCCAGCAGGGAGTGAGCAAGAGGCAGCTGATCGATGTTTCTCTCTCGTTGATGTTTCTAACACTTTTTTGTTCTCATTTTTTTTATTACCATATATAATATGTGTACATACCTTACCAATCCCCACTGTTTCTAACTCTCTATCCCTCTCTCTTCCTCTCTGTAAAAAATCAATAAAATATTTTTAAAAAATACAAAAGTGCTTTCTTTGCTAAGTAAATGAAGTCAAAACTGACAGGTATTTGAAACCTAACCTCATTAACATGGTGTCTCTTGAAGAAAAACCAGGCTGGAAATTTAGCTCTTGGTACAACCTGCAAATAATCTGAAATGGGGGTTAGAATTTCTTTAGTTTTGTTGTTAAGATGTAATCCTAAGAGTTGATTTTAAAATTCCAGATTCTGGGTCTTTGAGAAAAATGAAAGGATCTGGCAATACTAAGTCTGTACCACAGGCTGAAGGTGGGCACCTTCAGGTGGATGCTTGACTGGATCCACTCTTGCCCATTCCCAGCCTGAATGATAGTCCTTTGAATGTGTGGCCCAGTTTTTGCAGTATTAGGTGTTTTGGGGGGTTTTTTTTGTATGTTGTTTTTTTGTGTGTGTGTTTTGTTTTTTTTTTGAGCCGTCTTGCACACTTTCTTTCATAAGTGTAAATAAGCTCTTAAAAAAGAATGAGCTGACAACTTGTTTGATCTCTGGGGTGAAAGGTAGCATTTTCAAATAACAAATGAGTAAGAGACTTGAGAACGAATTCAAAAGTGAATCTTTACTATGTAGGGATCTGTAGGAATAATATATTATTAGTGCTGTTAAAAGATGCTATGCTGCCGAGACCGGTTTGGCTCAATGGATAGAGCGTCGGCTTGGGGACTGAAAGGTCCCGGGTTCGATTCCGGTCAAGGGCATATATGCCCCTTGGTTGCGGGCATATATCCCCGGTGGGGGGTGTGCAGGAGGCGGCTGATCGATGACTCTCTCTCATTGATGTTTCTGGCTCTCTATCTCTCTCCCTTCCTTTCTGTACAAAGTCAATAAAATATATTAAAAAAAAAAAAAAGATACTATGCTGTTCTAATGAGTACAAATCGGAAAGAAGTGCTGTTTTTATGTATTGTGTGTTACTAGCATTCACTGACTGCATTCAGAGTTAAGCAACTAAGAAAGGGAAGTAGACAGTGTATAAAATATCCACAACCAATTTCAAGTTGTGGCCATGCTTTTAATATCCTTGTGATCTGTGTAATTTCTTCCAAGAAGTTTAACTTATAGAAGTTTAATACACCTTTAGCTTATAAATCCTTCAAAGTGGTGTGCTTTAAGAGCATTGGATAAATCAGGCCAACCCACTGAAGAACTAACTCTTTTTTAATTATTATTAATCTGGATTTACAACAATTGAGTATTCAGAGGTTGGGATAGGTGAGGAACAGATATGGGTTATTTAACCAACAATGTCTGCTGAGTTATTCAGGGAATAAAAATCCTAAGATCTTTCTTAAGGTCGGTGACTGTAACTGCCCTCCCTACCCCTTTGATTATCTATATGGGACTCCAGACCCCCTGCCAAGCTGTCTGCTGAATCTCTGAAGCAACAAATTATTATAACTCGGAAATGTGACTTCTTAGTTATTACTTCCGATTAAATATTTTTATGCCCAGCTGGTGTGGCTCAGCAGTTGAGTGTGGGCCTACAAAATCAGGAAGTTTGGTTCAATTCTCAGTAAAGGCACACGCCTGGGTTGCAGGAGGCAGCAAATCAATGATTCTCTTTCATCATTGATGTTTCCATCCCTCTCCCTTCCTCTCTGAAATCAATAAAAAAAATATATTTAAAAATAATTTTATATCAAAAGATTCTATGGCAGATTTCAATAAGCATAGATTAATGTTTCCCTTTTTATAATTTTACTATCTCAATCTAGCAAATAACATTTTGCTTTTTGTTAGGTTTCCTGAAAGTCAGAAAAAATGGAGGACTCAATGAACCAGTTGCAGCCCCTCAATGAGAAGCAGATAACCAATTCTGAAGATGGATATGTATGGCAAGTCACTGATTTGAATCGCCTCCACCGCTTCTTGTGTTTCGGTTCTGAGGGTGGGACTTACTATATCAAAGAACAGAAGTTGGGCCTTGAAAATGCCGAAGCTTTGATTAGATTGATTGAAGATGGCAGAGGGTGTGAAGTGATCCAGGAAATCAAGTCGTTCAGTCAGGAAGGCAGAACCGCCAAGCAGGAGCCCATGCTCTTTGCGCTGGCCATCTGTTCCCAGTGCTCCGACATCAGCACCAAGCAGGCGGCGTTTAAAGCCGTGGCCGAAGTTTGCCGCATTCCCACACACCTCTTCACGTTCATCCAGTTTAAGAAAGATCTGAGGGCGAGCATGAAGTGTGGCATGTGGGGCCGTGCCCTCCGGAAGGCCATCGCAGACTGGTACAACGGCAAAGGCGGCATGGCCCTCGCCCTGGCTGTGACCAAGTACAAACAGAGAAACGGCTGGTCTCACAAAGATCTGTTGAGATTGTCACATCTTAAACCCTCCAGTGAAGGTAAGCATAGCATCTTTAGTGTGTGTGTGTGTGGGGGGGGGGGGGGGGGTGTAGAGGGGTGCAGATATCGAATAAATAACAAATTTATTTGATAATGACAGTTGTGTCGTTTCTAGAAATAGCCTTTCATTCTCAGAACATACTGATTAATTTAAATATATTTAAACCCAATCTGGAAACACCTACCACAGGCAATCCAGACATTAGTAATCAAGAACCAAATGACAGGGCACCATGCTAACAAAAACTCATCCAAATGATGATGGACTATGAAAGCAGCCTGGATGTATTCACGTTGTTAGCAAAACAGCTCCTAGCCAGTAGGTGGCAGATAGCCGGGCTCTGTAGCCCCTTCTCATTTTTCCCCTCCCTGCCTTCCTAGGACACATGTTCCATGGAAACTCAAGGCTGCCAGAAATGGTGCTCTGAACTTAGCAATTCGGAGTGTTAATTGTCTCCAAGCAGTCAACCAGGGAACATGGTAGCGTGGGCTAGTTTTTCTCTTGTCTGTTGGAAGAGGTTTTTGAGAAGTTAGTTGGATCTAATTACTTTTTAGTCTTTCTTTGAAGGAAATAAAAACTTTTGGTCAAGAATAAAGTGTGAATTTTCAGAAAAATCAACATGCCCAAAATTTTATTTTTTTTACACCTGAAGGAAAAATTGAAAAGACAGCCACTCATATGGGTTCAGATTTCAGTTCTGCCCGTTGTTTCGAGTTCTAGCGCCAAGTAATTTAACCTTTCTGAGTTCCTGCTTCTTTATCTATTAAAAAGGGAAGAGGAGGAGTGACCCTTCTGGTGACTAAATGTGATTGTGGATGTTCCTGATGGGTACCAACATCATATAAAGCAGAAAACATCACACAAAAGTATATTCTTGTTTCTTTTGAAAAATATATTTTTTTTGGCAGCATTAAGCAAATACGTAACTAAAATATTTGTCAGGGCATACTCTTTAGTTCACCCCAGTCCTGACCACACTTTATTACACCACATGGCCTATTCATTTATATATTTTATCCACCTTTTCCCCCTGGACCTTTGAATTTGATAATTCCATTCCTTTCCCCACCTTTGCAGAACTGTAATGTAGGGCTTAGAATAATCACACCATTTATTAGCAGAACCTCCTCCCCAATCTAAAGATCGTTTCAACTATTAAAAGGAAGTGTGATAGGAAACACATTACTTTCCTTTATTTAATATTTGGCCTATAATACTTTCTCAGCTATTAAAAAATTGTAAGTTTACCTACCTGGACACATCCACTTACCTCTACTATTCATCCATGCATAATCAGCTAAAAGAGAGAATTGAGTATGAAATTAATTGAGATCAGTACTTTTCAGAGGTGTTCTGAGATTATGGACCTAAGTCTGGCCCTGTCTACCAAAGTTTCTAATGCTGATGTCTCCAAAAATAAGGCTCTATAATGAAATGAAAATATAGGAGTTTTTATAATATACATATATATATTTTAACAGAGAGGAAGGGAGAGGGGGCAAGAGATAAAAATGTCAATGATGAAAGAGAATCATTGATTGGCTGCCTCCTGCACACCCCTGACTGGAGATGGAGCCCAAAACCCGGGCATGTGCCCTGCCCAGGAATCAAACCATGACCTCCTGGTTCATAGGTCAACCACTGAACAACACCAGCCAGACTAGGGGTTTTTCTTTCTCCAAAGTTTCCTATTGATGCAATGATGGAATAAGCAACATTAGTTAACTCTGTTTGATTAAATGTTTTATTGTATGCATAACAAGCATCACAGATTAAAGAAGTTCAATCCTGGGTATCTACTTATGCCTTTCATATGATGCCTTTCCATAAGCATGTTCTGTCTTTTACCTGCTAATCCTACCTGCCTTTTCAATTCTCTGTTTTGTTAAAGGACTTGCTATTGTGACCAAATACATTACAAAGGGCTGGAAAGAGGTCCAGGAGTTGTATAAAGAAAAAGCACTTTCTGCGGAGACTGAAAAGTTATTAAAGTATCTGGAGGCCGTGGAGAAGGTGAAGCGCACGAAAGATGAGCTGGAAGTCATTCACCTGATAGAAGAGCACAGGTTGGTTAGGGAACAGCTTCTGACAAATCACTTAAAGTCTAGAGAGGTAAGTAAAGTGTAATATGTTATAGCATGTGGTTAAACAGTGCCTTATGGTATGTATTAAGAAGATAAACTGTGGGTGCCTATATGTTCATTACAGGAAAACACCTAACAATGCCCACGTGTACTTGCATTCAATAGTGTTCAAGAACGAGTTAGTTTATTTGCTCTATGATGAAATGAAAGACTTTGACCATTTTGCACAAATTTTTACTTAGAAATTGATTTGAACCCCCAAAGAAAGTCTTAGAGAATATATTATTATTATTAATGATACAGTATATTCTACTGATTCATAATTTTCTATGTTTCTACCTGTTATTGCTATAGGTATGGAAGGCTTTGTTACAAGAAATGCCTCTAACTGCATTACTACGGAATCTAGGAAAGATGACTGCTAACTCGGTGCTTGAACCAGGAAATTCAGAAGTATCTTTAGTATGTGAAAAACTGTGTAATGAGAAACTATTAAAAAAGGTAAGCATTCCCTTTCTTAGCTACTACTGACTGAAAAAGTTGCTCCTAAATTGTGGAAATGCCATCAACACATGTTTTAGGTGTTGAGACTTAGCATACAAGTTGCATTTTGACTCTGAAAACTAAGATGAATATGTCCTTGTTTTCCTCTTTTCTTTATGAAATGCATCAGCTACAATAACAAATATCTTAGGCGCATAACTACTGCTTTTCATTTGCAGTTTCACTTACTCTCTGTCTTCATCTTGTTTCTAGGCTCGTGTGCATCCGTTTCATGTTTTAGTCGCGTTGGAGACTTACAAAACAGGGCACGGGCTCAGAGGGAAACTGAAGTGGCGTCCCGACGAAGACATTTTAAAAGCTTTGGATGCCGCTTTCTACAAAACATTTAAGGTGATGTTTTGATTATTGTTTGAAAATGAATGACCCAGCCGTCACCGGTTTGGCTCAGTGGATAGAGCGTCGGCCTGCCGACTGAAGGGTCCCAAGTTCGATTCTGGTCAGGGGCTCCTTGGTTGCGGGCACATCCCCAGTAGGGGCTGTGCAAGAGGCAGCTGGTCGATGATTCTCTCTCATCAACGTTTCTAACTCTCTATACCTATCTCTTCCTCTCTGTGAAAAATCAATAAAATATATTTTAAAAATAAATAAATAAAATGAATGACCCAGTTAGGTAGGACTTGGTATCCTGTGCAAAACACATTTTAAAGATGTTCACTTTTCCATTTCAGTTCCACAAAGTACTGAAAATTCTAAAAGTTAGGCAAGAAAAAGCAAAAGACATCCAAATTAGAAATCAATAAAAATTATCTCTCTTCTCAGGTGACATGATCTTAAATGTAAAAAAAAAAAAAAAACTTAATCCATAAGAAACTACTAGAACTTACAAACTCAGCAAAGTTGCAGGATACAAAACCCAAAGGCAAAAATCAGTAGTATCAAAGGCTGAGAAAACATGTCCATTTATATTAGCATTGAAAAGAATAAAAAAACGTGGGCATAAATTTAACTATGGAGTTGTAAGTCTTATACACTGAAAATTACAAAATATTACTGAATGAAACTGAAGACATAAATGTATGACATTCCATGTTTATAGTTTGAAGGACTTAATATTAGTAAGATGCCATTACTATTCAAAGCAATCTACATATTCCATGGAATCCTTATGGCATGTTTTGCAAAAATAGAAAAACCTGTTCTAAAATGTATGTGGTCTTTAAGGGGACCTTCAAATAGCACAACCAATCTCCTAAAAGAAGAACACAGTTTGAAGACTTAGACTTGAAAAGTACAGGTTTCAAAATTTACTGCAAAGATGTAATAATCACAACAGTAATACACATTAAGACAGTGATAAAGACCAGTAAAATAGAAAACAGCTAAGAAATAAACTCTCACATCATGGCCAATTGATATTTTCTTTTTTTTTAATTAAATATATTTTTTAATACAGTTTGCATACACTATATTAGTTTGAGGTGTACAACATTAGACATGTAATATACCTTACAAGGTGCTCACCCTAAGTCTAGTATCCTTCAAACACCATACATCATTATGACATTGTTACTGTATTCCTTATAGTGTAGTTTACGTGGTCCATTGATTTTTGACATGAGTATCAAAATAGTTTAATGAGGAATAATATATAAATGGTGCTGGGGAAACTGGATATCCACATGCAAGAGAATAAAGTGGAACTGTTACTTTATACCATATAAAGAAATTAAAGTGGATCAGAACTATATTTAAGTGCTAAAACTATAAAATATAAACTTCTTTTAAAAAGAGTAAATGCTTCAAAATATTCGACTTGGTAATAGTTTCTTAGACATGACACCAAAAGCATGGGCAACAAAAGAAAAAAGCAAATTTGCCTTCCATCAAAATATAAATCTTTTGTGCATCAAAGGATACTACCAAGAGAGTGAAAAGGTAGCCTACAGAATAGGAGGAAGTATTTGCAGATCATATATCTGGTACTGTTTTGATATTCGGGATATATATAAAACAAAGACAATTCCAGAGTAAAAATACAAAGAACCCATCTCAAAAATGGTCAGAGTACTCACATAGACATTTCTCCAGATATACAGATGGCCAATAGCATATAAAAAGATGTCAGCCTTGTGAGTCATTAGGGGAATGCATCTTAAGGAAATACCACTTCACGCTTGTTGGGTGGCTCTTACCAAAAGGCAGAAATAACAAGCAAGAACGGAAACTATTGTTGGTACAGCCCTGTGGGAAAGTTTGGTGGTTCCTCCAAAAGTTAAATGCTGAATTGCCATACCATCCAGCCATTCTACCTTTTACATACATACATACCCAAACGAATTGAAAAGGGATTCAGATACTTGTACACGAGTATTCATAGGTGCATTATTCAGGTAAAAACAGCCCAAGTGTTCATCAGCAGGTGAATGGATAAACAAAATGTAGTCCTAGTCAGCTTTACAAAGGAATGGAAATAGAAACATGTTACATGGATGAACCTTAAAAACATGGTGCTAAGTGAAATAAGCCAGACACAAAAGGTGAAATGTTATATAATTTACCTTAAATGAGGCAGTCAGTAGGCAAGTTCCTAGAGACAAAGTAAAATAGAAGTTGCCAGGGACCAAAGGAAGGGAGGAATGGAGAGTTATTTAGTAGGTACAGATTTTGTTTGAAATAATAAGTTTTGGAAATAGTGCTGGTTACATAAAATTGGGGGTGTACTTAAGGATTTGTTTAAAATTTAATCTTAAGAGAATTTCTTTGATTAAATGTAATGATGATCTTAATTTGTTTTCTCTCTATAGACAGTTGAGCCAACCGGAAAGCGTCTCTTGCTGGCTGTTGACGTCAGCGCTTCTATGAGCCAGAGAGTTTTGGGCAGTGTCCTCAGTGCCAGCACTGTGGCCGCTGCGATGTGCATGGTGAGAACTCTGAGGCAGCTTACCGTGTCTGCCACCCTGAGGAATTGTTTGCTCTGGGGCAGAATAGACCTAAATAGGCCCAAGAATCAGGTTTCCACTTGTTTCTGTCAATTTGATATATTTGACAACATTTTATTTCATATAAATATTCCATATCAGAAAGTAATTAAAAATAAGTGAAGTTTATGTATATTGTGTGTATATACCTTGATATAGTTACTACTACATATACATATATATATTTAGGTAAAGGCAATATTATAGGTATGTTGAAAAAAATATATCAGAATAGAAACTTTAATTTTACAACTAAAGATGTTTAAGGAAGTAGACGATGTTTAGGGAAACAGTTAATAAATATGGAAGTTCAAAGATCAGAAACTAGTAACAGTAGTCAGGAGACTTCGGTTTCTGCCTGCCTGTCACTGGATAGCTATTAAATCATGGATGATCTTCTTAATTTCTCTGTGCCTGTATTGTGTTACCTTCCAATAATATGTATTCTTATTAATAAAATGAAAAGAATATATTCTATCTGCTTTAGAGGGCTGTTGTGAAAAGCAGTTTCTTTGTAAGAGTTTGTGGAAGTACTTAGAAAGCTGTCCTGTTACTGCGTAGATCCAAACCCCAATGTAAGTTTCGAAATAAAATAGGCATCGCTGTGTTTCCTTTAAAGGTGATATTTTATGAACTTCCAAGTATGTGTTCATTTTTCCCAAATCTGAAAATTACTACCATTGTGTTTTTCAGGTTGTCTCGCGAACAGAAAAAGACTCCCACATCGTTGCTTTTGCAGATGAGATGGTACGATGCACAGTAACTACAGACATGAGTTTACAACAGGTTTTAATGGCTATGGATCAGGTAAAAAACTACTTTATTAATTTATACTGCATCATTGTTATTGCTGTCATGCGTGATGTTAGTGAGAACAAATTGTTTCATCTCAACTATTTCATGAGCATGAAATAAAATATCTACATAGGCTTTGGGAAGGCCTATGTATTGGCTCAAAACATAATGATAATGTAAAAAATAGTACTCTTAAGTATTTTATTATTATATTTCATAGTGTCCCAGTGCGTGATTCATGCACATTGTAAGGAAATTAATTAGAAGAAATGTTTTAATACATTTCTTATTATACAGACTTGCCCTTTGTGTATAATAGAAGTGTCAACCAAATTCACGATCAACCAGGACAGTTAAAAACTGTGTGTGTGTGTGCAGTTGGCACCAGGGAGAACTTTATATGTGTTGCGCATGTGCAAGTCAACTTAGTCTTTTATATGTATAGATTATGGGAGCTGTCTTTTATTCTTGTTTTTTGTTCTGAGTTAGATTCCAGCAGGTGAAACTGATTGCTCTCTTCCAATGATCTGGGCACAAAAGACAAATACAGCTGCTGATGTCTTCATTGTGTTCACGGATAATGAGACCTTTGCTGGAAGTGTCCACCCTGCTGTTGCTCTGAGACAGTATCGGAAGGTAACACAAATTCTGATACTCTTTCTCACTACGTAAAGTCAGTTCAAAAACACTCTCCTTTTCCAAAAACAAGTTTTGAATGTATACACATACGTAATGGACTCGGCATTACTTGAAAAGTATTGGCTACACCTATCTACACTAATAAAAGAGTAAGATCCAAATTGGTAGTACCTTTGTGATGCCCACCAGCCAATCAGGAGTAAATATGCAAATTAACCCAACAAAGATGGTGGGTTAATTTGCTTCTGAGGTTTTATGCACAGCTCTGGGCAGTGTGGGAATGCGAAAAGGCAGTTCCGGCTGGAGTGAAGGTGGTGCAGGCAGCCAGGGGAAGAAAGGCCCATTCTTGCATGAATCTTCATGCATCTGGCCTCTAGTATAATATATTTCCACCAGTTCCAGTTCTATACATTACTAAGAATATCCTTTATCAGTGGCATTTTTTTTTAATGATTCAGTGTATTCCTTGAAATATTAAGGTGTCATTTGTGATTTTTGTTAAAGGATTACATAAAATTAAAGCTATAATCTGTGCTTTAAGTTATATGGATATTTCTGGGATCTAATCCGTGCTCTCCAATTGTGCTTTCTGAAATGAGTAAAATGTGATAATGTTCTATATCACATGGTAACTGCTAGTCAGTGGGCTGTTGAGCTCTGGAAGTGTAGTTGGTGTGACTGGCAATGGAAATAAAACTCGATGAAGAGCAGTGGGTCTCAAAGCGTGGTTTCCCTGCCAGCATTGCCTAACACCATCTTACAAATGCAAATCTAGGAACCCTGGTGGGGCTGTGCTTTACAAGCCCTGCACTTGGAGACCAACAAGTGGCAGAACAGAATTTGGGGTCAGGATAGCCTGGGTTCTGAGTCCTGGTCTTTCTCTTCCTGACTGTGGACCTGAGCATATTATTGAACTCTGATACATGCTCACTGTTAGGGTTGTCACAATAAATACACTAGGGAAATTCCTTAAAGAGCCCATTAGTATCTGATACTGAGTGATGGTTGGTTTATCTCAGAAACACAACTACTTTATCAAGTCATAGCTTCAGAGAACAAATTCTTACATGCCAAATGTTATATTATACTTAGCAAAGTTAATAATCCTGGTGAAATATCTCCTTATATTAATTCCACCTTCATGCACACTGCCCTGTGTTTACTATGTTGGTAAAAATAGCCTCAGCCCCTGACTATCCTGACAGGCTCGATAAGTAGAGTCTCAGGTTGCTCAGGAAGGAGTTCTGTGGCCCGCAGAACAGGTGACGGAGAGCAGAAGCGGGGATTTCCGGCAGGTTGTTGACAAAACTTTGTCTAGTCTTCTGAAGATCACAGTCGAGCCTTGAAAGATTGACAGATTGTATGTATAGACGGGGGGAAGAACTTGTAATGGAAATCTGTGCTAGAATTTAAAGTGTTAATTTGGAAGGTTATTTGCTTTCATACAATTTTTTTAAAATGTGTATTTTGATCTTTACCTACAGAAAATGAACATTCCAGCCAAGTTGATTGTTTGTGGGATGACGTCAAATGGCTTCACCATCGCAGACCCAGAGGACAGAGGCATGTTGGATATGTGTGGCTTTGACACTGGAGCTCTGGACGTAATTCGCAATTTCACGCTGGATGTGATCTAGCCATAAGCACCAGCGTGGTCCAATCGGCCCATTGCCTTTAGTGATCTCGCTAAAAACACGCAGCTACTTCCCAGCTAATCTGAATCCAATGAAAGATAAGATGATGGTATAGTGTGTGTATAATGAATGGCAAGTTTACCTTGCCAAAAAAAGGAAAAACAAGATAAGCCCAAAGTTCGCCCTATCTACCAGCCTAGCTCCTGGGAAGTAGCTTCGAAATTCACTGTAGCTCCCTTTGACAGCGCTGGTGGGCCCTGTAACATAGTCACACAGGTTTGCTTCGGTAAATAATCACATTTGTATTTAAACGAAGTAAGAGCCAAATTTGTAAGTAGTTCCATATCATGTCACTTGTTTGGAAAGTGCTTCAAGTTTTCTTACACGTTTTCATTGGGAAAGGACAGCTTTGATAATGTCCATCGACCCTGAAATGCACTGGACCATTAACTGTGATGGCATCTAAAACTCATCTGTAAAACAGCAGCCAAGACATTAAATAATGAGTTTTGCAGATTCTTCTTAGGAGTTTTCTAAGGTCACATTAATAGCTTTCTTACTCAGTAAAAAAAAAAAAAAAAAAAAAAAAGATTTTGTCTCATGTTTTACTTACCCTTACAGAATTATTTCCAAACCAGAAACACAACAGAAAGGACACTCCTGGGCTGGGGACTAAAGTTTGTGTCACCCGAGGAAGTCTGTGGAGTGTTTTGTTTTATTGCTTCGAGTTGAGGGTGTGACTTGACAGTTTCCTCCAAGTTACAACAACATGGCCACACTCAGTCGTACTTTCTTTTTTAAATGCTCTTAAATGCAAGCAACATAAAATGGTCCAAGCATTTAACTCCCCCACTCATTATCTGAAAATGACAAATCTCAACTATAATTGGATTCCCTTTTTACTTACTGTAAAATCAATATTGTTCTAATTCCTTTTAACTTTTTTAGCCAATTGTACATGGGTTCTAATTATAAGCATGTCAATGGCCTATTTCATTGTTTGTTATTCATTGTGACAAGACATTCTTTCTTGGTAGAGTAAAAATAAAACAATAAAGCAAGCTAGGTCTTTCAGGTTTGAAAGGCAGTTTTTGAGTAGCATATTACCACTAACCAGTTTGTAAGAAAGTATTTTTTTCTATTTTATTTGTGTATATTAAACTTCTTTTCATTACGCTAACGTGCATTATTTTCTTGAGCAAAAACCTCTTTTTGGGGAGGTTTAACTTATTTAAACGCCAGTAACTTATAATTACATGGTTGCCTAGATTTACCCATAAAACTTCAATTTTTATGAATTTAAATAGTAATGGAGGACTTATGGGGGATTTTCATAAACAACTTATCACTATGTGTAAGACAGACTAGTAAATGTTCATTGTAGCATTTAGTCAGCAAAACTAGTAGCATCCTCACACCAAAAAACCACATTGCTTCTGATGTCATTTTGTCTTAATCCTGTCACACATAGGATTTAACATATTAGTTTTTATGTTCAGATTGAATTTAACGTTTAAAGAACCTAACAGAATTGTGTACTGTAATTTTTTAAGTATACCTGATCTGAATTTAAAAATCATAAAACAATACCACTTATTATTCCTAATTGAAATGAAATGTAGCATAAAAGTGTATTTCCTTCAGTTACATACTATTCCTGTAGTATTTTTAGACAGATCTATTCATGAGCTGATGAAATCCATCAGAGAAGTAAGATTAGATGTGACCTGCTGGAGGTAGAAGTATTTAGGTAAGTTTTAATTAAATGTATTAGGGAACAATTTAAGGAAGAGGGGAAAAATAACAAAAAACAGAGCCACCACAAAAAGTAAGTTTATTTTCAAATTCTGGAATTTTAGAGCTAGATCAAGCCTTAGAAATATAAACAAGTTAATTTTATTTTTTTAGGTTAGGGAACGGGACTTCAAGAAAGGGTGGCTTTGGAGCACTAGATCTAGAAATCTTCATTTCAGTATTCACATACCCACAAAATAGGAAAGCTGACAAGAGGAGGGGTGAAAATAGAATTAGTCAAGACTTTATTCTTTTAAGATTTTAGGAAATAATATATTCACATCATTGCTATAGAATAGAAAAATTATCAACATATACTTCTGTTCATAGTAATCCTCAAGCACAATGTTTTAATAACCTATGTTGCTATATATTAATAATATACTATGGGGGGAAAAAACCAATGTATTCAAGTAATAAAGTTAATCAATTTTATTTCCTAGAAAATATATAAAATTTTCAGGATATGTTTGCATTTAGTAAAACAAAAACTATTGTTAAAATCCTACCCTTCCTTATTGATATTTCTTGGAAATTCCATTAATTGCTGTACGTTATCTAGTAACTTATAGGTATATTGTTGAGGAAGAGACTAGGGAATGGGGTTCAGTGTTACTCCTCTGGCAGCTTTAACTGTGACTGTAGAGCCCAATTTAACCTATGTGACTCAATTTTGCTATTTTTACAAAGTAACATTTGATGCTTAAAGGAAAATCAATATATAAAAGTTTAAGTTAGGGTGAAGGCTTACAATACAAATTAGAACTTTATAGGATATATATTTTAAAACAAAATGGTGTAGGGAAATAGCCTAATAGGTTCTCTCTTTTTTTTTTAACCTCTGAGTGGGAAAATGTGGAAGAAAAATTTTCATTATTCTCTGATCAAGAGAAAGAAGGAATATATATTCCAAGTCCAACAATACCCCTTCCTTCCCCCCAACCCCCATAGACGGACCTAGAAAAACAAGCTCTCAAACTCTAAATGAGATGCTACAAATACCTTTTAAAATAACATAAATGATAACATTTTATGAGGCTCCCCCCCTCCTCATTTTCTGAAATTTGCAAAAACAAATTATTTTGGAAATTGTAAGGCAGAACCCCTGAATACATTTGAGGATCTGATAAGTGAGAAGAAGCATTCAAAACACAGTAAATGATAAAAGGAAATTAGGGTCAACTACTGAGGTATTGTATCTAAAGATAACTATCACAAGTACAAATTTCTTGAGAAGTGAGATTCTTACAGTAAGTAGTAAGCAAAAATGAAAAATTGTCTTGTATACCACAGGTTTGAACTGACTTAAGGCATATCCTCTAGAGAATGTCATATAGCCTCAATGTAAAATGTTGAAGGAACAATAATTAGGGAAAAAAAGATAAGCTAAGCTATGAATTAGCTGCATTTAATGTATGGATTTTCTTTACTATTTCCCAGATACTGGCTAATCTCTGTTGGAAGACTACATGTTATCCCTCCATTTTTCTTACAAAACTCCTGACCTTTTTGTCATTGCTTTTTCTATCAGGGTAATAGAATGAATGGTAGAAAAATCACCCACATTTAGATTTTGGATGAATCTTTTGCAGAATGCTCTGAGTTGTAAATAGATTTAAGTTATTAAAAAAAAAAAAATACTTTTTATTAGTTTCAGAGAGGGAGAGAGAGAGAGAGAAACATCAATGATGAAAGAGATTCATTGATTGGCTGCCTCCTGCACACCCCCCACTGGGGATCAAGCCCGAAACCCAGACTTGTACCCTGACCTGGAATCAAACCCTGGCCTCCAACCACTGAGCAACACCATCCAGGCACATGTTTTTTCAAATTAATGATAGGCGGGTCTCTTTGAACAATATAGTGATATATTCTCCACAAATCCAAGTTATGTTGTATGCATTTTGTATTAGATATTTGCATCTTTGAAAAATAAGTAACAATACTCTTTCAGAAAATAGTATGTTTCAATTTCATATTTGTGTAATTATAGAGACTGCTGTCAAAATCTTTGGTCTACTAAGTACTTCACTAAGCTTGTAGCATAAATGCTTTTCTAAATAGCATGTGTTTACCTTAAACCCTTTTTTAAAATTGGTGAGCTTTTTATTTACTTTTTAAAACTTACAAAGTTATTTTTAAAAATAATCCTATGGTAATGTTTTTCATGTAAAAACCTATTGTAGTTAAGCATAATGTCTGAATAAAATTGTAAGTGACACATTTCCCTAAACCCTGAAAATACCAAGTTATATTGGAAATTGGTAGAAAGAAGCATAAGTTATGCTATTATAACTTAAGCATGAGTTATATTATTACAAAATTCTATTACTGAAATTAAGTTGATTACTTTCAATGAGAATTAATTTTGTAAATACAATGAAAATACACAAAAGTTATTTCTGAACCGAAAGGGGTTTTTCTTTACTTCTGTTCAGCACCACCATAAGTCATATTAATCGTATAAATATGATATTTAATTTTAAAATATATTTAAATTTTGGTTTTAGAAATTATTAGAATCAGTGCTTGCTCAAAAGAAATAGTAAGTTAGCTATGTTGCTGCTGGTTTTGCTTAATGAACACTTGGATTACTAAGGACAGTGACTGAGATTAAAGATTTGCTGTTTTATATACTATTACCACACAAGTGATGGATATTGTATCAATACAAACACTAATGGGAATTTCAGTTTAAATTACTTGTTAGGCTTTATTTGCAATGTAAACCGTTTAGAACCCATACCAGCCAAACTAAAATGTAAATATTATATACATTTGGTGAATAGCCAAGAAAAAAAATGGTTTTATTGCACTATTCTAAATATGGACTATTTGGCATGATGTGACAACATAACTTTTATAGAGCATTTGACTTCTGTTCCTTTTATTGCCAGCTTTTGATAAGAAAGAAATCACCCAAAGGGATGAGATGTATATAAGAGCTTTTTTTCATTGGTTGGGGAGAGGCTTTACCTATTTCTAAATGTGCATGTGGTTTATATTATATAAAGGCTTTGATTTCCCTAATTGATCACTTGAGGAATATTTAAGTTACACAGACTAATGCCTGCCCGGAATAAAATTTAAGGTACAAGAGCCTTAAAGTGAAAAACACGATCTTTCTGACTGCCTTACTACATGACTTGACTAGCTCTCTAATGCAGGCGTACTGGTTCCTTTCCAAGGGTCTGTTCAGTGTATGTGCCTTAGCAGCTCTGGTGTTTCTGAAATACAGAACTCTCGGGTCTTGGAGAGCTTCCACTCTTATGTAATGAATGAATGGGAACTCATCAAGTTTTCAAACCCGCCCGTACGTTTGTAGCAGAAGCACCCGTGAACAGAATAATCTGGGGCACTGGTGTTACTACATACGTGACTGTTAACATCAGCACTCTTTTGTGGTCACTGGAGGATTTTTATTGTTTTATATAACAAATTATCCAAGAAGCTGGACTTTATGAAACATCTCCA